ACACCCCCAGGGAGCTCTTGACCCCTGGATGCCAGAGCCTGTTTGTGCTTTTAAGCTCAACTGAAGGGTTTCTCCAAACCAGGTGGGCCAGGTATGAGCAGAGATCCCTCTCAGGTGCTGATCCCCTCCCATGTGCCAGGGCCCTCAAGGGAAGAACTTCGTCCTTACATCCAATTTTAACCTACTCTCTGTTGGTTTAAAGCCACCCAAAAACAGTGTTGCAGAGAACACTAAGATAAAAATTGAGAGATTACATCAAAATTAATAACTTTGAAGGGTAATTAGTTTATGTAGAATTTCAGTTTCTTGGAAACTAACTCCTTTTTTAGTAAGGCATTATTTCTTTTTTCCTTCCTAAATGTTCTGTGAGAAGGAACATTTAACATTTAAGCATTATGTCTTGGAGATAAATTGTATTTAAAAGGTTACAGTGCAAAACTACGTCTCTTAGTGCCATAGAAGATGGTTTATTAATTGCCCTGGATACGCACACAGTCATAAATTTGTTTGTATAATTTGATGAGGGGAATTGATTTACTATCACAGTGAAATACTACATTAAACACTCATAATTCTTTCTTTATACTGCTCCTCCCCCCTTGAAAGCATCTGACTGCAGGCCATGCTGAATTATTGTTCTGTAATCATTAAGTGATTTATTTAACCACAGCACACACAGTTACCATTAATCTATATTCTTATTCTAATTTCACATTTATGTTTTCTGTTGTCATACCAACAAGGAAAAATTATGGATTTAATCTAAACCAAAGTACAGTTGTAGAGCAGCAAGGCAAGATAAGGGACTTCTTTATTCTCCAGACACATCTTTTTCAACAATGCAAATAGAAAAAAAAAAAAGCAAAACAAAATCTTTCTGAGAGCATAAATAGCACAGAATCATCACATTGAAAGATTTGTAGTATATTAAGCAAATATTGCTTGTGGAAAAAAGAAAACTAACCTATTTTTATTACTGTCAAATCATTTAATAAAGGAAAGGCTCAGAACAAGATGCTACGTGTGATGAGAACAGGAAGGAGCTGTTCCCTGATCCATCATGCCTGACAAACAGATCTGGTGCTGCAGACACTGGAGGCACAGCCTTGTGAAAATGCAAAAGCCACTGAGGCACAATAACCATGAACCAACCACCCTGCACAGGCCAAAGGAACTGCACAACACCTTTTGGGGACAGGCAAACCCCCAGGGATCCTCTCTCTGCTTCCTCTCCCCCTTTCCCACGAGCAGCGGGCAGTTGTGTCTCTGGCATTAAGCGAAAGCACAAAGCCCGTTTTGCAGGAGTTTGCTGAGCCTGCTGCAGTGCTAATGTCGTGCTAATGTAGTGCTAATACAACCATTGGAACACTGGCTCCATCCCCTGGAACTGCCCATTGCACGTGTAGTTCATAAAAGACCTGAGTGGTGAGCAAATCCAGCTCCCTCAGCCCGAGGGAAATGCCAGGGGTCACCGGTGTCAAATGAAGTTTGCTCAGACAAGGCAGACAGGGAGCACAGGAGGAAGTTGATGTGCACTTCAAAGGGAAGAAATTTGTCCAGTCTGCAAGGCAGTTCTGTGTGTCGCTTAGTAATGAGTTTCTTTTGAAGAAATACTGTTACACAGAAGTCTATTTAACTGGAATGCTGTTACAGGGCATCCTCTGTTAACAAAAAAGAGAATACACTCAGGAAAGACTCCCTGCAAAACACCATCACGGTTTTAGCCAGGAGATGGGTGGTCCATCTAGTCTTTGCAAGTGGCTCACCTACTGCTGTCAGGCCAAAATACTTCGTGGATGTGAATTTAATTAACTGAAATACATCCTGAGACTAATTTTCAGTGAACTATGCTGCTATTAATCAGGAAGCAATTTGCATGGCGAGAGCTGAGCTGTTCCCATTGTTCTACACTTGTTTTGTTTATCTCCAGTGATGTGACAAAATCTTATGAAACTTTACTCATCTGAAAGCCAAGACTCTGTGAGTGCTCCTGTATTGGCAGAGAGATTTATGGTTCGTGTCACCCAATCGATGCTGCAGGAGCAGCACTCGGGGAGGGATGAAATGCAGAGCCCTGGGATAACCAGGAGCTCAACCACTGCTTAACTTCTCCCATGTGCTCCTGCGTCAGTTCTCTTATCTGTACAAGAAAGGAAACAAAGTTCATCTCTCTCTGCAAAGCACTTGGAGATATTTTGATAAACTGTGTTATTCAAACACAGCATTTTCCAAGGTCAGCTCTCTCTGCACAGCTCAGACACTGCTTAAATAGACTGATCCTCAACTTCTCTGGATTTACAAACATCATTACCAGAGCTCTCACTCCAGCATCTACTTCCTTACGGAAGATTTAGCCGGCTCATTAGCACACAGCAGGAGACAGCTCCAGCAGGCAGGAGTGGGGCTGGGAAATGACCCTCCGGGTCTTGCTCCCAATCCCAGGGAGGGCCAGGGGGCCTGGAAGTGAGTGGGCAGTGCCAGCCAAAGCCCCTGCACAGGCTGCAGGGACTCATCACTCCAAACCCTCAGCCCAGACAGCTCTTTAATGGACTTCACAGGCTGCAAAGCACAACTGAATTGAGCTAGAGATGGCCAAACCCCAGTTTCCTGGCTAAGCAAATACTAGAGAGTATTAAAGTATTTATTACATTTTAATCAGATGCACATGGAGGAGTGGTACCTGTGGTCATCAGGTGTTTGTGACTAGCACTGAAGTACAAGTAGCACATGGTAAAATAACCTCAGACTGCTCTGAGAATGGTTCCAAAGTGGGAAATGGAAATATCTGTGTTTTGGCTCCCCATTTCATGGCAGAGTGCTGAGGCACCACCTGTGTGTGGCAGGCACCTCACACTGATAAAACCAGGAACAAAACCTTCACACCTGCTCTTGCCACAATTCTCTGAGCAGACACTGCTCTGCAGTGTCAGATTGCTCATGTCCATACATCTTGCCTAAATACACCATAGAACATTGATATCTTACTGCTTTACTACTAAAAAACAATAAACTGCAAGTGTCTTAACAAACCAAGGCATGTTTTTGCATCACACTTTGCCAACTGTGGCTGTTTGCAGTGACTCTCCCAGCCACGAACACAAGTGAACAAATGCAGAGGTTTTACCTTACCCAGCCAGCACTCCCCTGGTATGCAAACACCAATCTGCACTTGTCCAGCCTTAGAGCATTGTCACTCTGCTCCACTGCATGGGATAGTGGCTTTTTATTCTTCACTCCCCCCAAACCAATATCCTAATTGACGCACAACAGACAGGCAGAAGGACACAGAGGACCTGCCACCAACCTGATGGGGATGATTATCCAAAAATAAAGGTCAAATCAAAGGAAAATTCAAACCTGTGTCCAGCCAGAACTAGGACAAACTGACACGAGCAGAGGAACAGCACAAAGTGAGGAGTCTTTAAATAAGGGAGTTAAAAAAAAGTCTCTAAGATTAACTACAGACACAACCTAAAGAGGGCATGGATAAGGCAGCTAAAACTCTCAACCAGGGAATGACAGCCTGAAGTCCCTTTGGAATGCCTGCACTCAATGCCACAATTTAAGAAGCACTTCAGGAGGTATCTCCAGTATCTCACACAGGAGATGTGCTTCCTTTTAATGTAAAACAGCAAGTCTAAATATCTGAAAACTATCTGAATAGGCTGTTCAGAACAAAGTCAGACAGAATCCACGTGTGACATAATATAAAATACCTAAAAGGAACACCTTATTCTTTCAGGGATTGGTTCCACAGGAAACCAGAAAGCCAAAGGGATCCCTCAAACAGGCTGTTTTGGCAAAAGGCTTCTGATCACTCTCCCTGGGAGGTTGGTACAGCCCTGAAAGGCTGTGGACTCTCAGGCCCTGAGAGTGTTCCAAAGCCCCCTGAGCTGCACCACCTCGTTACAACACACTGCCTCAGCCACCAAAACTCAGGGAAGGGAGAGGAAGACAGAACTCCCAGTTCAGGCACACTTAACCTTCCACATTTCAATTAGCAGATGGATATAAGGAAATCCAAAAAGTGCAGAGAAGGCTCACAAAAATCATTATAATTATTTATATAGGCAGAAAATCCAACAGCCCAATGCCTGCAAGGTAACAAAAATGATTTGTAGTCTCATCCCAGACAGCAAAATGTGGTGCACAAGAAATTCCAGCTGCATCAGGTGCCTCAGCTCAGCATCACAAAGTTCACCTCCAGTTGACTCTTTCAGCTCCATTTTAAGCTTTCCTTCCACAATTTTACATAACAAGTGAAAATGAGCTTTCATCCATTTTTCACCCAACATGGACATCTCAACAGTTTAGCCTATTTGTAATTCAACATAATAGAAGCCCTGGGTGGGATAAGGAGGAGGAAAACACAGGATTCTCCATGACCATTTGCAGATTTCCAAACCCCATCTCCTTCACATACCAGTAATCTGTTTTCTTTTACTTCAGAGTAATGACTCATTACTTCAATCATTTCAAAATGGAAGAGAATTCCATCTGGCATTATGGACTAGCAGCCAAATTACACAGGTCTTGATCTAAAGGTTGACTTGGTAATAACAGAAAGCCCTAAACTAAAGTGCATTTTAATATCTCCAATCACTCACCATTTCAGCATGTCTCAAAGTTGCTCTGCCACCTTCCCCACACTGGGAAGTGCTCACAGGATGAGAGCACCAACCCCAAGCAGGCAGGGCTTGGAGGCACCATGGGGAGCAGGACACAGCTGTGTGTGTTTAAACCCTTCCACCAGGTGCATCTCGTTCAGTTCTGAAGCACTGATGCTCTGGGTACACAGGAGCATGCACTAATCTGAGGTTTAAATTGATTAAAGTCTTCCCCAAAATTATACTGACCAGATACTGGGAGGAACTGATACCTCCAGAGGTGCCTCTTCCCTTTCCTTAAAGCCTGAGTGCAATAAATAACCCATCCATTATCTTCCCACCAACTCTGCTATCCCTGTTGCCAACTAGAAACACAGATTTCACTCATCTCACCTGCAGCTCTCCTGGTGCTGCTCAGCTCCTCTTCCCAGGCAGAAGGAAGAGCACACAACAGCTGATGACTCTTTTTACTCCCTGGATGCTGCAGAAAGAGGGATCAGAAAAGTCACATCAGTAACCACCACAGGGAAAAGGAGCCACGAGTAACACCTTCTTGGAGGGACTTCTGTCTCCCAAGTCTGAGGAGCTTATTTGTGGGTGTGATAATTGATTTCAAACAGAAAACACCTGGTTCACACAAAGGACGAAAGGAGGTGAAGTGATGGTAAGAGCTTCCTCAACCTCCAAAACAACTGACCCAGAGGGTAAATACAAAAGCTAATGGAACCACCAGCATGTGAAGAACGCAGGCATGGCTTTGTTTTTCCAAGACACAGCTCAGAGAGAGGTGGTTTATGTTAGATATTGGGAAGAAATCCTTCCCTTTGAGGGTGGTGAGGCCCTGGCACAGGTTGCCCAGGGAAGCTGTGGCTGCCCCATCCCTGGGAGTGTCCAAGGCCAGGTTGGACGGGGCTTGGAGCAACCTGGGCTAGTGGGAGGTGTCCCTGCCCAGGGCATGGCTCATTACTGGATGAGCTTTAACGTCCATCCAACCCAAACCAGTCTGTGATTCCAAGGCAGAACTGGGTTCCATGGTCTCGCAATTTCCTTTATCCAGGGAAGGAAACTGATGGAATTATGCCCTGCCAAAGCAGCCCAGGGAAGGTCGGGCCGGGCTGTTCCTGCAGGTACAGCACCTGCTGGGGCTGTCCCGTCCCCAGAGGGGGGGACACATGAACCTACTAAAAACGAACCCAAAAAAGAACCAAAACCAACCCCTAATACCTTCAAAACACGCAAGGCTTCACAGCCACGTGAAGAATTAAAACAACTCAGCAGTTTAAAGGACAACTTGTGCAAGCACAGGACGCACAGCCCACCTCGGTGCCTGGAGGGGCAGAGTCCTGCACGAGCACCTTCCCGCAGCCCTGGCCCAGAGCAGCCGCTTTGCCCGGGCGATGCGGGGGTTTGTAGGGTGATGGGGGGCTGCGTAGAACGGTGCGGCACCATTGGAAGGGGGCGGCACTCTTTAGGACCATTGCGAGGGGGCGGCACTCTTCAGGACCATCGTGGGCGGGCAGGGCGGGTCTCCCCTCACAGCTCCGCCCCTCTGAGGGGCAGCGCCACAACATGGCGGCCGCCGCCCGCCTCCCCCCCGGAGCTGTCAGTCACTCCCGCCGCCCAATCAGCGAGCGGCCGCGGCCGGGCGCAGCCAATGGGCGCGGGGCAGGGGCGGGCCATGGCGGAGCTGAGCGGCGGCAGCGAGCCCGTGGCGGTGCCGCTGTGGCCGCCCGGGGAGAGCCCGCCGGGCTTCCAGGTACCGACCGGGGCACAGTGGGGAGGGCCACAGGGACACCCTCCGCACACCGGGGGGGCTCCAGCCCGGCCTGGAGCACTAGAGGGGATGGGGCAGCCACAGCTTCTCTGGGCAACGCCTGCCAGGGCCTCACCGCCCTCACAGCCAACAATTCCTTCCTAATATCTCACCTAACCCTCGCTCGGAGAGGCCTTGCCAGCGCAATATATGACAGGCCAGGCACTATTAAACTTAGTTGTGAGTAAAGCCAAGCGAGCGAGAAGCTGATGTTTATGGAAAAAAAAAGAAACTTGGGGAATCACCGCCATGTTTCACAACACCCAGAACACAACCTGCTGTGAAATGTAATATTTAGCGATAGCACGTCCCCCAGCCTGCTAAATAAAGCTTTGCATGCCGAATGCTGAGAAGGAAATAAGAATACACACGTAGCTGTCGTTATATCTTGGCTTTCAAATTTAGCGAAGTCTGTCAGCTTTTATTTCACAGCACTCCGTGGTTCTGTAACCACTCACCTGCTGGGGGCATTGGTGTAACTGCAGAACCTGGTTTTCTGGCGGAATTAAGAGGGATTTTAAATGTAACAATTTGAAGAGATAAATTGGAAGCATCTTCCTTTTTAACATAAATGGCTATTTGAAATTCTGTGGCTAAGAATAGGTATAAACTAACCTTCTATGTAGTCATTGTTTTGAAAGGGGAGGAAATTAATGATATTCGATAATTCTGTAAATAATTAAATCTATAAATATTGCGTATAAATATTATGTATAAATATATTTATAAATAAACACATTTGATATTTCTATACATAAAAATCATATATAGTAGACTAGATGTAATTAGCTGACATGTTTTTTCCACTAAGCCTTTTTTTCAGGCTGAGAGACTATTTTGAGAATTCAGGCACTGACAGACTATTGATTCTTTTTCAGTCCATATGGAATACGTGATTTGCAACCTTTAAAACATTTTCGAGAAGTTAAGGCTTGGAGTCGGAGGTTTACAGGGCCATGAAGTGTTGGTGGTTTCAGTTCAGAGCTCGCTCGTTGCCAGGCACAAACTCGTTCAGGTTCTGGTGTGAAGCCCTGGCGATGCCCAGCTCTGACTGTCGCTCTCTCTGCAGTACAGCCCGGACAGCGTGGCCGGGGCAGACGGGGAGATCGACCCCACCGAGATCACCTTCCCGGGATGTTCCTGCCGGAGCAGCTCCTGCGCGGCCCCCGAGTGCTCCTGCCTGGGCCGCGGTGACAACTACATCGGGCCGTGCCTGCGGGGGGCAGAGCAGGAGGGCTTTGCCAGGCCCGTGTTCGAGTGCAACGCCCTGTGCCAGTGCGGCGAGTCGTGCCCCAACAGGCTGGTGCAGCGGGGGCTGCGGCTGCGGCTCCAGGTGTTCCGCACCCCCAGGAAGGGCTGGGGCGTCCGCGCCCTGGAGCCCGTCCCCCGGGGCACCTTCGTCTGTGAGTACGCCGGGGAGGTGCTGGGCATGGCCGAGGCACGCAGGAGAATCCGGGCCCAGAGCCCCCAGGATTCCAACTACATCATAGCAGTGAGGGAGCACCTGCACGACGGGCGGGTCCTGCAGACCTTCGTGGACCCCACGCGCGTGGGGAACGTGGGCAGGTTCCTCAACCACTCCTGTGAGCCAAACTTGTTCATGGTGCCCGTCCGGGTGGACTCCATGGTGCCCAGGCTGGCACTGTTTGCAGCCACTGACATTCCTGCTGGAGAGGAGCTGTCCTTTGATTATTCTGGGAGGTTCCATAATTCACCGGGAAGCAGCAGAGAACACAACCCTTTGGAGGAGGATAACAGACTGAGAAAGCCCTGCTACTGTGGTTCCCCCATGTGTGCTTCCTTCTTACCCTGGGACAGCTCCCTCTTCTCCACACCAGACGGTTCCCCATAGCCTTTCAGCCTCAAGCTTACCTAGAAAATTGGATTTTCTCTAGTAGTTAAATTGCTGTTAAATAAAACTCTGTGTTCCAACAAGGAAGCCCATGTGGGTTTGAGTAGCAGCAAAAAGATAAGGCTTTGAGAATAATTTCATGCAACATTCTGGAGCCTTTTCAAGGTAGATGATACAGGGGATTATTGGAGCTTCAGGATGGTCCAAAATCAGTTACTAAGCCAGGTCTGGTGTTTCTGTCTTGTTTTCCTCTAACAGATTGGTATCTATTAAAGCAGCTCTCAGTTTGAGAGAAACCTTCTTTCAGAAAGAATTTGTACCTTTAACACTTGTACATGGAAAGGATGTGTGATAACAGCAAGAAAAATCACTGAAAATTACACAAGAAAATGACACCAGAGAATCCTGACATTTGCAATAAAGGCATTTGGTTTCTTAAAACTCATTCAATTATAGTTTTGAAATTACTTGCTATACATTTTTTTGTTGCACAAAGCATAAATAATTATTATTGACAATAAGAGTAGCTTGAGGGCTTTGTGTCCCCCTTTCCCCCCTCCAGCCCCACGTAGCTGCATGCCAGCACTGGATTGGGAGTGACTGGCTGTTCCATTCCCATTTGGCTCCTGTGAAGTGGGGCAGGCTCCAAGGAGCAGAACATCCCATCTTTTTTAATCACATCAGCCCCGAGGCTCCTCTATCTCAGATCTCTGCAATAACAGCAAGCAGCACAGCCCTGTTACTGCCCAGCCCTCTCAGTACCCAGGGAGCAAATCCAGACCCTGCAGGATGAGCCTGACAATTGACTGAAAATAAAAATACAAAAGTGCACCTGCAGGCCATCAGTAGCCTTTTTTTTTTTTTTTTAATTTCAGACAACTTTGATTTGGACCTGAAAAACTGGTGCCACTGAACGACTGAGCTGCAGCTCCCTGCTCAGTGTGTGCTTTCACCAGGAGGCCAGTCCAGCAGCTCAGAACTGGGAGCTCTGTGTAATCCTTTCAAAGTGCAGGAATGATTATCAATATTTGTATATTCATTCATCTGGAGATTTACTTTCCAACTGAAATATGATCATATCAGTCCAAGGACAGGGCTTGGAGCATCCTGGTCTAGAGGAAGGTTTCCTGCCCTGGGAAAGGGGGTTGGAACAAGATGAGCTTTAAGTTCCCTTCCATCCCGAACCATTCTGTGTTTAACCTGATACTGCCAAGGGATAAAGGACAATTTGCTGCTATGCTTTTGCTATTTGCTAAACAAAATCTTACTTGGTGTCTGTTACCTGTGTTTCCTTGATAAACTGCAGTCTTAGCTTCTCCCCACTTCAGTGCCTTCGTGCTGCTCACGGGATTTCCACATGGATGTGGGTTTATGTTAAGATAATCATTACCCCTAAGAGGAATCACATGATTAAGTGTCACTTCTGTCAGGACAGAAACTTTCCCAAGGATTTCAGCTGCTTGTCTCAAGCAGTTTCCCAGCTGAGTGGCCATTCCCTGACTAAGGGTTCCTGCTGCTCCAGGAGACAAGCCCTCAGATCCCACACCTCAGAATGCACCAGATACCAGAGCACAGCCTGCATTACACGGCCCCTTGTCCTATTTACAGGCTTCTCTGGTTTTCTCCCCCAAAAGGCATCTTGCCAGCCACCCATGCACTTTGAGAGCACGGGGCTGGGAGCAGATGATCCAATCTGCTTCCTCCTTCCCTCCTGGGAAGGGTTTCAAGATGAGTTTTACAGCACCTGCATTCCTGGTGTTGGGGCTGATGGCACAGTTTGTTACCTTCCTGTTATGAATATGCACTTGGCACGATTCTGAGTAGTTAAGGAAGTGTAAATTAAAAAAGAAACAAACCACCTTCAGCAATATCTAGTCCTTGATCACCAGCCTTCCAGCAGAGAACACAGCTGAGCCCTGTCCCTGCAATCCTACCCCCTCAGCTGATGCAGCTGCTAGGAGTGATCTGATAGCAGTTATCTGGTTAGAACAAACTTCCACAGCACACAACAACAACAGTGTTGTACTGTTCAAAACAGCCACGCTAAAGGCCTTGCAAAACCAAAATAATACGTTGTTACTGAGTTCTAAACCATCCTGGCCTTCTCCCATTATGCCTTGCCATGCCTTAGCACTGCAGCTGCCTGGGGAGGGGACCAAAATCCTCCCAAAAAAATTCCCCAACGTGAAACTAGAAAAAAATTAAGACCTTATGTTGTATCTGAATTTCTGTTTACTTTTTCCTTTGGGTTCCTTCAGCTGCACAGTCCCAGTCTGCCCCTCACAGCTCTGTGCTCTTCCACAAGGAATCCAAGCAGCTCAAAAGCCTCTGAGCTCCCTCTAATCCTCCTTCCTGCTCTCTGAGTGCAGTAATGATTATCCATATTCCAATATTGTGCCAAGCCATGGTGTGTTCTGGAACAGATTCTTCTGCTTGCTGGACTTACCTGGACACCCACTGGAGGCTGGTGCTGCTTGAAGGGTTCCCCAGAGGCTCTCCTGGCTCTTCCTTTCAACATCAAACAAGCAGAGAAGGAGCAGGGAAGTGATGGATCTGCACTGACCCCAGGTTGTGTTAAACCCAAACCCAATTTACTACAGAAAAGACAATGCTGGCAAGGACCAACATCAGTGCAAAGGTTTTTGTTAATCCACCGTTACATTCAGATCCCAAAATGAGGTGGCTTTCAATTATTCCCATTTCCTTTATTCCTTGCTAAAATTCTTCGCAGAAATTCCTCTCCTTTTCAGTGGTTTGGTTGGTTTTTTGTTTTGTTTTTGGTTGTTTGGGGTTTTGTTTGTTTTGGTTGGGTTTTTGTTTGTTTTTGTCTTTTTGTTTTGTTTTTTTTCCCCA